TCTTTCAAATCAGAACCAGTGAAGGCAGTGAAGGTCCTGTGTGAGTGCCTGGAGGCGGTTGGAGGATGGATGGCGGCTAATGGATTGAAGTTGAATCCTGACAAGACAGAAGTACTGTTTTTGGGGGACAGGGGGCAGGCTGGTGTGGAGGACTCCCTGGTCCTGAATAGGGTAACTGTGCCCCTGAAGGACCAGGTGCGCAGCCTGGGAGTCATTTTGGACTCACAGCTGTCCATGGAGGCACAGGTCAATTCTGTATCCAGGGCAGCTGTCTTCCAACTCCACCTGGTACACAGGCTGAGACCCTACCTGCCCGCGGACTGTCTCGCCAGAGTGGTGCATGCTCTAGTTATCTCCCACTTGCACTACTGCAATGCGCTCTACGTGGGGCTACCTTTGAAGGTGACTCGGAAACTACAACTAATCCAGAATGCGGCAGCTAGACTGGTGACTGGGGGCGGCCGCCGAGACCACATAACACTGGTCTTGAAAGACCTACATTGGCTCCCAGTACGTTTCCGAGCACAATTCAAAGTGCTGGTGTTGACCTTTAAAGCCCTAAACGGCCTCGGCCCAGTATACCTGAAGGAGCGTCTCCACCCCCATCATTCTGCCCGGACGCTGAGGTCCAGCGCCAAGGGCCTTCTGGCGGTTCCCTCATTGCGAGAAGCAAAGCTACAGGGAACCAGGCAGAGGGCCTTCTCGGTAGTGGCACCCGCCCTGTGGAACGCCCTCCCATCAGATGTCAAAATGATAAACAACTACCTGACATTCAGAAGACATATTAAGGCAGCCCTGTTCAGGGAAGTTTTTAATGTATGATATTTTAGTGTTTTTTGGTTTCTATGGAAGCCGCCCAGAGTGGCTGGGGGGGCCCAGCCAGATGGGCGGGGTAGAAATAATAAATTATTATTATTATTATTATTATTATTAGACACAGGATGTTTGTAGAAGAACACATATTTATTAACATACACTTGTGTTGTTTGTTCGTGGACTGAAACTTGTCTTAAGAACTGGCCCTTCTAAGTACCTTTCAGAATTAGCTCTTATGTTGCTCATGTTATTAAACCTTCCAAGAGTAGTTTAGGTTGGAGGTTTTAAAAATTGTTTTAAAAAAACTTGCTACCACTTTCAGTGGTCTACAGGGCTCTCTAGAACTGATGTTACTACAGAGTAAATTGAATACAGTGGTATCTCAGGTTAAGTACTTAATTCGTTCCGGAGGGCCGTTCTTAACCTGAAACTGTTCTTAACCTGAAGCATCACTTTAGCTAATAGGGCCTCCCGCTGCTGCCGTGCCGCCGGAGCACAATTTCTGTTCTCATCCTGAAGCAAAGTTCTTAACCCAAGGTACTATTTCTGGGTTAGCAGAGTTGTAACCTGAAGCGTATGTAACCTGAAGCATATGTAACCCGAGGTACCACTGTACTTGACTTGAAAAGGCTGCTTAAACCAGTTTTCTTGACAAATAAACACACATGCAGCTCCAGCTAGTATGCCATGATAGGGAAAGCTGAATCAGCTAATTTTCTCTCTTTCTGGCTTATGATGGTTTATTGGGTTTCGGCAATGCGCTAGTGTACAATGGCACATCACTCCCACTTTGCAACTCCCCTGGTACAAGCAACAGAAACAATGTAGGAAGCCTTGCTCCCCAGGAAGCCACTATCCATAGTGAGCAACAAACCATGGCTTTAACAGAGGCAGACTTTAGTCTTTCTAATGTCAGTGGTGCCCTGTGCAAGGTCAAAATTTGGCACCACTGCCTCTCACCTTCCATTCTGCTCAATTCACTACGTCATAGTTATGATGCCCTGTGGCACCCTCTAGGCTCAGCACCCAGTGCAGTGGAACCAACTGTGCGGTTCTATGGTTTTCCCAGTAGTGATGTATGGAAGTGAGAGCTGGACCATAAAGAAGGCTGATCGCCGAAGAATTGATGCTTTTGAATTATGGTGCTGGAGGAGACTCTTGAGAGTCCCATGGACTGCAAGAAGATCAAACCTCTCCATTCTTAAGGAAATCAGCCCTGAGTGCTCACTGGAAGGACAGATCATGAAGCTGAGGCTCCAATACTTTGGCCACCTCATGAGAAGAGATGTTGGGAAAGATGGAGGGCACAAGGAGAAGGGGACGACAGAGGACGAGATGGTTGGACAATGTTCTCAAAGCTACCAGCATGAGTTTGACCAAACTGCGGGAGGCAGTGGAAGACAGGAGTGCCTGGCGTGCTCTGGTCCATGGAGTCACGAAGAGTAGGACACGACTAAACAACTAAACAACAACAACAAATCTGCCTTTGGTTTAAGGCTGGCTAATAACCATGACTTGTTGGGAAGAAACCAGTTGCAACCCAGAGCTTGGACATTACCAGAAAGCACAGGTTCCTTGGTTTCTCTCTTATACCAGGGAAGGAGGAAAACAGGAGAAATTGGACAGTGTGTACAACCCACTGCTCAGTCCAATAAGCTATGATAAGTAAGAAATGGTGGTTTATTGTGATGTGCATACCAGGCTACTAACAAGTAGTTAAATGCACAGGAGCTTCTGATTTAAAAGGAGCTGGCAAGCTAAGACATGCCTGTATGGTAGGAGAGGATGATAAGTAGCAGACACCAGGCGGGCATAATATGCAGAAAGGATATTCCTTTTGTTTCTGTATTTTGGTCTAAGTCTGTCTTCCTTTACTTTCTTGACCTCGTAGGTCAGAAGCCAGCAGGTAGAACTGAACCATGACAGCAAGAGAAGAGAACCACTTCTCTCTCTTTTTCTTTCCCTTCCTGCTGTCTCTGAGGAATCAAGCAAGGCACCAACACAAGGAAACGTTTTGCATGATCCATAATATTTCCCAGGCCATTGCTCATGTACATTATTGTCAGATGCAAATGTAGACTTTTAAAAGTCAAATGTCCTTTCTAGAACTTACTGGTGACCTTTCTATTTCTGTAAAAGAGTTGGTGGGGATGATTTTATTATTTATTTTCTCAATACTTTTTCATTTTTTAAAAATAGTAACATAATGCTATTTAGCTATTGTGGGGATGATAATAATAATAATAATAATAATAATAATAATAATAATAATAATAATAATAATAATAATAATTTATTTGTACTCCGCCCATCTGGCTGGGTTTCCCCAGCCACTCTGAGCAGCTTCCAACAAAGATTAAAAATACATTAAAATATTACACATTAAAAACTTCCCTGCCTTCAGATGTCTTCTAAAAGTCAAATAGTTGTTTATCTCTTTGACATCTGATGGGAGGGCGTTCCACAGGGTGGGCGCCACTACCGAGAAGGCCCTCTGCCTGGTTCCCTGTAGCTTTGCTTCTCGCAATGAGGGAACCACCAGAAGGCGAAGGCCCTTGGCGCTGGACCTCAGTGTCCAGGCAGAATGATGGGGGTGGAGACGCTCCTTCAGGTAGACTGGGCCGAGGCCATTTAGGGCTTTAAAGGTCAACACCAACACTTTGAATTGTGCTCAGAAACGTACTGGAAGCCAATGTAGGTCTTTCAAGACCGGTGTTATGTGTTAATAAGATTAAGAAAAATTATTCAATGAAACCAGTAGTTCAAGATTCCTCTAGTGGGAACAGAAACTCACACTGGGTCAGTTAGATGAGGCTGTTCAAGGGGAGGGTCACCACTGATTCTTCAGCCAAGATCACCAGGAAGCAATAAAACAGACAAGATCTGCAAACTGGAATTTTTTAATCATCCTTGGAAAAGACCTTTTACTGAATTTGACTTAGTTGTGTGTACATATAAAAAGTATTTTGGTTATGGAGGACTTTACTGGGTAATATAGTGCTATATTAAATGTGCTGTGTGGAATCTTCATTTTAATTCCACTTCTAATTAATGAAAAGCTATGTGCTTTGTGGTGTTAAATAGCTCTAGGAAGAAGCAGTCTATCATTAACCTTTTCTGCAGTGTGATGAGGTCAATGGAGCTCTGCAGATAAACTGGCAAGCTGAGTCTGATAGAAAGTCCTCTTTTCGTGTGGAATGCCATGGACATGGTGTATCTTGATTTCAATGATATTCTTGCAGAGAAACTGGTAAAACGTGGGCTGGATGAGGTTACTGTCAAGTGGATTTGAATCTGGTTGACTGACCCAACCCAAAGAATATTCACTAATGGGTCCTCAATAGGGATAAATGTAAGGTTCCATACTTAGGCGGGAATAACCAGCTGCTCAAATATAAGATGGGAGATGGGTCGGGACACCTGGTTTGCTAGCAGTACATGTGAAAAGGATCTAGGGGACTTAGTAGACCACGAGCTTAACATGAGTGTGATGCATCATATTTGGTGGGATTGTCAAAAGGTAAAAGCTTATTGGGAAATGATATATAATGAATTGAAGAACATGTTGAAAATAACTTTTGTAAAAAAAACCAGAAGCCTTTCTACTAGGTATTTTAGGCCAAGATATACCGAAAGAAAAGAGGACTTTATTTATGTATGCCACTACAGCAGCAAGAATGTTGATTGCACAAAATTGGAAGACTGGAGAAATACCAACTAAAGAACAATGGCAGGAGAAACTGATGAACTATGCAGAACTGGCAAAAATGACAGACAGACTAAGAGAAAAAGACAACAGTGACTTTAAGAAAGAGAATGGGAACCATTTATATTATACTTGCAGAAACAAAGAAAGTCTATAGACTTGATGGCAGGGTTTAAATAAACATCCACATTAGTAGTATTAGAACATGTGTAGAAGATAGAGAAATAATATGGTGCATTCATTGTTATCTTTATGATTTTAGGTTTGATGTTATTGTATAAATCTTTTATTAGTAGTTTTTTCTTTTAAGAGGTAGCAAAGTGGGTGAAAGGAGAAACAAATTAGAAGCGGAAGTTGGGGGAAGCGCAGGAGGGGAGGGAGGGAGGAATGCATAGTAAATGTTATAAATATGAGATGTATGTAATGAATGAAAAAGGAAAATGAATAAACAAAATTTAAAAAAACAAAACATGAGTGTGATGCATCACATGGCGGAGGGAGCAAGCTTGTTTTATCCTGCTCCAGAGACTTAGACTTCATCCAATGGCTTCACGTTATAAGAAAGGAGAATCCGACTAAGCATCAGGAAGAATTTTCTGGCAGAGCTGTTTGACAGTGGAACAGATTCCCTCGGAAGATGGTGAGCTTGGAGGCTTTCAAGCAGAGGTTGGATGGCCATTTCTCATGGACGCTTTAGTTGCGATTCCGGCTTTGTAGGGAATTGGACTATATGACTCTTGGGGTCCCTTCCAACTCTACAGTTCTATTATTCTACATATGGTCAGACTAGCACTTTGTCACAGTAACAGTATTAAACAGAGTTTAAGAATCAGAAGCCCTCCACACAGCAATCCACTTCTTTGTGCTTTGTGGTTGTTCTGGAAATGAAGAAGAAGAATTTACTGGAGTGAGGAGTTGACTCCCATTTCCCATTACAGTGGTACCTCGGGTTACATACGCTTCAGGTTACAGACTCTGCTAACCCAGAAATAGTACCTCGGGTTAAGAACTTTGCTTCAGGATGAGAACAGAAATCGGGCTCCGGCGGCGCGGCAGCAGCAGGAGACCCCATTAGCTAAAGTGGTGCTTCAGGTTAAGAACAGTTTCAGGTTAAGAACGGACCTCCGGAATGAATTAAGTACTTAACCCGAGGTACCACTGTAATAGGGAAAATGCCATCTACAGACGAAATGTAAGATTAAGGTAGCACTTGATATAGAGGAGCCAAAGCAGTCAAGTGAAATTTCATCTGGATGGGTGGGCCTACTGAAGTTGCATATAGTCAATGAATGCATGCTTCTTATCCTTTGAGTGGATTGTGTACACAGCCCTAAATGCGCCATACATTTAAAGCAGTAATAAGGTAAAGGTAAAGTTACCCCTGCCCGTACGGGCCAGTCTTGACAGACTCTAGGTGCGCCCATCTCTATAGGCCTGGGGCCAGCGCTGTCCGGAGACACTTCCGGGTCACGTGGCCAGCGTGACATCGCTGCTCTGGCGAGCCAGAGCCGCACACGGAAACGCCGTTTACCTTCCCGCTAGTAAGCGGTCCCTATTTATCTACTTGCACCCGGGGGGGGGGGTGTGTGCTTTCGAACTGCTAGGTTGGCAGGCGCTGGGACCGAACAATGGGAGCGCACCCCGCTGCGGGGATTCGAACCGCCGACCTTTCGATCGGCAAGCCCTAGGCGCTGAGGCTTTTACCCACAGTGCCACCCGCGTCCCAAAAAGCAGTAATATACCACCTTAAACACTCATCGCTTTCCCAAATGATTTATGGGAACTGTAGTTGGTTAGGGGTGCTGAGAGTTGTTAGGAGACCCTTATTCCCTTCATTGAGCTACAGTTTCCTGAGTAGTTTAACAATCAGTCCATTTCTCCATCTAGTTCAGGGGTAGGTGAGTAGTCAAGATATTATGGACAACAACTTCCATCATCCCCAATTGTTGGCTGTACTGGCTAGGCTGTATGGAAGTTATACTCCAGAATATCTGGAGGGCATCAGTTTGCCTGCCCATTATCCTGTTGTTGTTTTTTACAGTAGCCAACTAGATGCTTCTTGGAAACCCAAAAGCAGGACAAGATGCCAATAGGCCTCTCCTATGGGGTCGGGGGAGAGCCGGCCCTACCATTAGTTAGAGAGAGGTGTGGGGTGTCACGAAAGGGCAGAAAACTTAGTTATTTAATTCTTTATTTTAGCCTAATTTATTTCCCCCCGCACCCCATTTCTTCTTACCTATTCATATATAATTAAAAATAAATTAACAAATTAATGATAATATTTTATACACATATGCCTACATATGCTTACATGTATCGTTGTTCAGGTTACAGGAATGTGGGTGGCGCTGTGGGAAAAACCTCAGCGCCTAGGGCTTGTCGATTGCAAGCTCGGTGGTTCGAATCCCCGTGGCGGGGTGAGCTCCCGTCTTTCAGTCCCAGCTCCTGCCCACCTAGCAGTTCAAAAGCACCCCTAAGTGCAAGTAGATAAATAGGTACCGCTTTCTAGTGGGAAGGTAAGCGGCATTTCCATGTGCTGCGCTGGTGCTGGCTCGCCAGAGCAGCTTTGTCACGCTGGCCACGTGACCCGGAAGTGTCTCCGGACAGCGCTGGCCCCCGGCCTCTTAAGTGAGATGGGCGCACAACCATAGAGTCGGACACGACTGGCCCGTACGGGCAGGGGTACCTTTACCTTTTACCTATCGTTGTTCATACTGAAAGAATCCTAACTTTTGATATTATTTCATTGTCACTTGGGTTCATGTGACTTTGTCTTTTCTTACTTACTGGGGGAATGGCACTGTGATATTTTCAGTGAATATATGATAAAAAAAAACCTGCAGTATTTTACCTCAGCCCAGTACACAGGGACATCACTGCAGAGGATATTCACTGTGGTTCCTAGAGTTGTGCGATCTGCCAGTTCTCCTTGCTTGAAGCTGTAGGACACGTGGTCATCTCCTGAGCCCTTGAAGGAAACAAGGTGAAATTTAGTATATGGGTAGTGCAGATTTTCACTTAGATGTCTGTTATGTACTGAAGTTCTCACTCTGGGCCAGCAGGGGGATACTGCAGATAGTTTTCACTCAGGTCCGCATATGCAAATAAGGAATTGAAAGTGACATTCAGTGATTTCGCTCAGTGTTTCAGCTCCGTGATTCAGCTCAGCTCAGAGGGTGGCCATGTCTGGCTGTGGTCTGATGTCCATCAATCCCACCTTCATCGCCAGTGTTAAGTAGTGGGTGAACATATCAGACGACACAGCAATTCTTCAGACAACTCTTGTTTATTCACAGGCCAGAACAGAACAGAACTGAAGGGTTCAGCCAACCTGCTTATATAGAGCTCAACTACAAAGCAACAGTAACAACTTTCTGTAACTATCCAATCACTGAACGTTACTTTCAATCCCTTATTTGCATATGCGGACTTGAGTGAAAACTATCTACAGTATCCCCCTGCTGGCCCAGGGTGAGAACTTCAGCACATAACAATGTCAAGGTGTCAATGCTCTGGTTCCTTGGTTTTGAGGAATGCTCACAGTGGTGCAGCTAATTTTAGACCTTGGATTTAGTGATCTTATCCTCCCACCCGCGGTTTAGACAGTCATTTATTTTGCGAAGCATACAATCAACATTTCTCTTCTCCTCCCACTGTCCAATGCCTGCTATTCCAGCTTTACAACCTCTTCTACATTCCTAAAATGTTAGTGCAAAAAACCCCACAAACAAATCTGAGGTTGATGTTTTTTAGTACAATACTTTGAGCATCTGCAGTTTCATAATTTCAACTTATAAATTATAGCACTAGCGTGAGCACAGGGATATAATGGGGTTCGCTTCTCCTGGCCTGATGCTTAAAGGCACGTTTAGCAACGTTTCATTGTAGTAAATAACTATATCTATCTATCTATCTATCATCTATCTATCTATCTAAAAATAAGAAAATGAGCATCTGCAATTATGTCCATGCCTACCAGGTCATCTCCTGACAATACAGTGCTTTTTAAAATAAGAAGAAAGGAAGGATGCTCTAGTGAACAGTGCCAGGAGGACAGCTGATGATGGGAGGCCTGCTTGCTGCTGCCCCATTATCTGCCACTCTCTGGGCTTTCCAGACCCTCCAAATGTCCCTATTTTCCAGGAACAGTCCTGGATTTACAGAAGCCACCCAGTTCTGATCCCAGAATGTCCTGCTTTATCCTTAAAGGTAAAGGTAAAGGGGACCCCTGACCATTAGGTCCAGTCGTGGCCGACTCTGGGGTTGCGGCGCTCATCTCGCTTTATTGGCCGAGGGAGCCGGCGTACAGCTTCCGGGTCATGTGGCCAGCATGACTAAGCCACTTCTGGTGAACCAGAGCAGCGCACGGAAACGCCGTTTACCTTCCTGCCGGAGCGGTACCTATTTATGTACTTGCACTTTGACGTGCTTTCGAATGGCTAGGTTGGCAGGAGTAGGGACCGAGCAACGGGAGCTCACCCTGTCGCGGGGATTCAAACCGCCAACCTTCTGATTGGCAAGTCCTAGGCTCTGTGGTTTAACCCACAGCGCCACTCGGGTCCCTCGCTTTATCCTTAGGACGTCCCTATTTTCACTGGAGAAATGTTGGAGGGTATGGAGTTATGCGATCCCTGAGCCAAGGAGATAAATAACTAGACAACCTTTAGGAGACATCTAAAGGCAACCCTGTATAGGGAAGGTTTTGGTTTTCCCCCCCAAAAAATGCTTAATGTTTTATTGTAGTTTTATATATGTTGGAACCTGCCCAGAATGGTTGGGGCAACCCAGCCAGATGGGGGGGGATATAAATAATGAAATAATAATAATTATTATTATGGAATAGGACAACCTGATTTTCACTGCAGAAATACTGGAGGATAAGGGTTTCTGCCTCAAGGTCTAATCCTAGCTGCCCTACTGAAGCAGTCAGTTAAGGTTTCTGGTACACAGCACAATCTACATGAAATATAAGGGAAAAATGGGGAAATGGTGCTCTCAGCTATCCCATTCTCTCAACTGCAGTATTATTTAATAAGTGTTGGGGAGAGATTCTCCACACCCCATATCTACTTACTTGTTCATCAAAGTGCTCTATTCCTTCGGTGATTTCATGTAGGCTGGGCACATCAACTGAATCCATTGACACCACTGAGCATTGTTTTCTGTCCTGAATTCGGAAGCCGATCAGACGCTAGGAACAAAGCAGGAAGCAGAGAAGATTTTGGGATAAATTAAGGAATGCCCTCCTCCAAGTGTGCAGCTGGTGCTGTGCTTTAAACAGGGGGTGGGAGGCAAGTTCCTTGCTAGAGATTATTAGGAAATGGATTGGAAAGAAAAACTGCTAATATCATAATACCGTTATGCAAGTCTGTTGCTTGTTGCAGTGACGTAGAATGGGGGGGGGGGGAGAGGGGCTGTTGTCCCGGGCACAAAATTTGGGGGTGGCATAAAAATTCAAAAGAAAAATAAACCACTTTGAGGGTTTGTTTTTTTAAAAAACAATCAAGTGGTGTCAAGCGGTGTAAAAATTACATGGAATAAATAAATAAATAAAAAAATAAATAAATAAATAACAACAACAATCGCTGACCCTGTCCCCCTCTCCCTGCTGGGAAGACCCTTCCCCACCATCATCGCTGCCCAGCCCTGATAGGAACCATGGGTTAGGGCAGAGCTTTCCAAACTGTGCGTCGCAACACATTAGTGTGTCAGCTTCAGTGTGTAATTGTGTCTTGCAAACGCTCCCCATTCTCCTCCTGGGGCTGGAAAGGGGTTAGTTTAACCTCTGGTTTGCTAGTAAAACTGAATGACTGTGTCCTGAAATGATGCATGTCTAAAAAGTTTGTCACCAACGTGAAAAGTTTGGAAAGCTCTGGATTAGGGAGAGCCCCGGGCACTGGCAATCCACGCTACGCCCCAGTCTTATTGTAAACTGCAACCTCCAGTTTGTAATTAACGTAAGGTTGCCATATGTACGGAATTTCCTGGACATGTGCCCAGGGAAAATTTTTGGATAATCAGCAAAATGTCCTGGATTTATAGCTCAACAACTTTGAGTATCCATAAAAAAATAACTTTTGTGTCCTGAATTTTACTTCTAGAAATATGGCAACCCTAAATTAACACCAAGCCACAATTCTTTGAAAGCAAAACTAAACTCAGCAGAAGTCATCCTCCTGGGAGGAGGAAAATGGAGGTGGCAGCACATGAGCTCAAGCCTTTTTTGGACTCATAGAAGCTCACCTACATACTGTTAAGCCACGCTTTAGTGTCCCATGTGTACTGGGCTGTAAATTAAGAAAGGCACCATGGGTTCCAGTGTAATGTTGCAGAAGATCCTGTAGGGACAGAACTCCAAGACTATTCAGTTCAACCACCTGAGATGGTAAAATGTCTTAGAACGTTTTGATGTCCACCTATTTGACACTTACGTGTTTATAGTCATAGACAACAGTAGCTGAGGTCGTATTGCTCTGGATATGAAAGGCAGCAACACTTTCCTGGTTGTTCACCATCATAGTTTGCTCAACCACTTCGCCACCTCCTGTACTACTAGTAATTTTAATTATCTACAAAGGAGAGAGACAAGTTTCAACAGGGAAATGCATTTTCTGTGTTCCTGGTACTTTGCATGGTTGATCTCGAAGCACAAATCTGAAGCATTTTAGCTGGTGCTATAGAGTCATATCAAAATAAAGGCGACATGGCAAGAGGGTGTGATCCTGCTCCCTGTCTCATGCATTTAATAAACACACAAGCACTTTTCCGATGATTAATATGTGTGTAGCAGTGATGGATTAAATTTTAATCATGAAATAAATGCCGAATTGGCAATCGTAGAGAAGGGAAGTTGTCTGTTCCCCTAATTCCCCCTGTTTCTGTGTACATTACTGAGGTCCAATTAAATGCCTTAACAATGATGTAAGCGTATTTATTATAGAGAGACTTGATTCTGGTGTTACTTTTTCCACCTTCAAATAACTTGTGGAGGGAGGAATAATACTATTCCTTCCACTGTGTCCCTGTGTGCATGGGCAAAGGTTTTCTCCACTTATGCTGCTAGAGATCTTTTAGTTGGAGGACCTGGGATTTAGAACTGTGGGCTGGTATCTGGCAATTTGTGCACTTAAATCCTAAACTAAACCAAGTCCCAAATAACCCAACAGACCAGGGAATAGGGAACCTGTGTCCCTCCACATGCTGTTGGACTACATTTCCCATCAGCCTTGACCCTTGGCTATGATGACTGGGGCTGATGGGAGCCGGAATCCAACAACATCTGGAGAGTCACAGGTTCCCCACCCTTGGTCTAAGGATTCCAGAGATATTGGGTTGTATCCTGCTAAATTCTTTTCAGATTGGATCCATTGACATTAATGAACCTAAGTTAGTCATGTTCATTAATTTCAAGTGATCTACTTGGAGTGGGATCAGCACTGGATACAACCCAGTGTATGTGAGACACTTTGAACACTCCAAAACACTTTATGAAATGGTAATATGATGACATCCCAAATGGAAAACTCATATTGAGAGGACGTATACCTCTGAACCTCAAATACAATAAACAAATGTCATTTGACTTCATGACCTCCTGGTCATCCAAAATCAGACTGGCAGGGTTCATCAGCACCAACACTGGCCCTGCACATCACCCTATGGAACGAGTGGCTGGTCTGCAAGCCAATGTTTAAATTTCCTATAATCTGTCAGAGTGATTCTTCCTTGGACACTAGGAGGAATTTCAAATGATGATCAGTAGCTTAGCCGCTGATGGCCAATGATCAGCCTTACTCTTTTGAATGACACTAGCTTTCTTTTCAGTCTTCTACTCACCTTTTCGGTGTGTTGCTGCGTCATGTAAACGCCAATGAGAATTGCACCAATAATGATAATGGCCAGAAGCACCAGGATAACAGAGATGAGGATCATTTGCTTCCTCTCCTTAGGCACTCTGGGTATAAACCTGAGGGCCTGGGAAAGAGAGACAGGGGCTTAGCTGGGAAAGGTCAGACCATTACTCTCTCCACCCACAGATTCCCATCCCTATGGCACTTTCTGAGACAGTGAGCTGCAACACAGTTTAAGCAGGACAGCCGGGGGAGCTTCCTATTTCAAGTAAAGGCTTTTTGTGAGGAAGGTTATATTTTAATACTAAAAAAAGGAACCATTTCTTGAAACACGAATCAAGTAACAGGTCTAGAGAATGCAGAAATCATAATTAACTTCTGTGCCTACCTTAGAATGGTAGGATTTGCAGGATTGTGCCTTGCACATAATTAAAACTTAATAATTGGTGAGTAATTTTACCTGCAATTCTATGGCCCATGGGATCGTGCCCAAGGGGCCATAGGATACATCAGAGCTCCTTTTGCAGACTTGGAGACTGAGACTAGCAGTGGCTTTTCAGGTTTTCAGGCAGGATTTCCCCCCAACCCTATCTGGGGACACCAGGGAATTGACCCCAGGACCTTTTGCATGCAAAAATCTGCCCAACCATCAAGCTTTCTCCTGTGCTCCTTAGAGAAGCAAGCTAGTTTAAGAGGGTGCAGACCAGGCTACATAGGACGCTAGTGGCGCTATGATCTAAACCACTGAGTCTCTTGGGCTTGCAGATGGGAAGGTTGGCAGTTCAAATCCCTGTGATGGAGTGAGCTCCTGTTGCTCTGTCCCAGCTTCTGCCAACCTACCAATTTGAAAGCATACCAGTGCAAGTAGATAAATAGGTACTGCTGTGGCAGGAAGGTAATCAGCGTTTCTGTGCGCTGTGGCATCTGCCACGGTGTTCTGTTGCGCCAGAAGTGGTTTAGTCATGCTGGCCACATGGCCCGTAAAGCTGTCTTTGGACAAACGCTGGCACCCTCGGCCTGAAAGTGAGATGAGCACTGCAACCCCATAGTCGTCTTTGACTGGACTTAACCATTCAGGGGTCCTTTACCTTTTACCTTTACCTTTTTACATAGGGCACACAACTCTGTCATCTTCAACCGAAACTTGAAACTGGTGCCTCATCCTGCCTAATGATATGGCAGACCGTACTTGGCATTCTGTGTCAGCATCTGTCAGTTTTGCTACTGAGTTACTATCAAAATTAGTTCTCTTGCACACCCCAAATACCATTTTCTGCCAAATAGGTTCCCCGCCCTCCAAAAAATCTACAGTACTTACTATGGGTTCTGATGACATGTTGACCTGACAGTCGACTTTGGAGTCCATCTCTGCTGCGATGTCAAATGAAAACTACCATAGCCAGTTCACTTTTATAGGAGGATCTATGGGCAGGTAGAGGCCAAAGGTTTCCTGACAAACTCGATCATGGGAAATATGATCACCAGTAATTACCGTACATCTGACCTGGCATTTGACCTCCTTTAGCTGAAGGGGGAATTTCTATTTGAGCAGTATACCATGGAGAGAGCTTTAGAAAGCACAGAAAACCCCCACCCCCACAAAAACTAGAATTTTCACATTTTTAACAGTGACTTAGCAACTGATTACCCAACATATTGAGGTTCTCTCTTAAATTTGTTAATCAAGGGTTGTAGCCAACTAAGGTATACTCGGAATAGACCTATTGAAATGAGTGAACTTGAAATTAGTCATGTCCATTAATTGTGGTAGGTTGGCTGTGAGTAGGACTTGAATTGAATACAGCCCCAATTATTTAACTATAATGGGTTCAGGAAGTCCCTGATATCTATTGGTAGATGTTGTTGAGGTACAACTCCTGCTGGCATAGCTGATGGCCAGAGATGATACATCTGGGGATTAGAACCTCTAGGAGGAAGGAAGCTGGAATGAAGGGAGACCACAGGGAGGAGAGCTGAAGGGAAGAGATAGTGAGAGTAACCAGAGAGAAGTATGGGTGGAAGAGACAGATCAAGCAGATGAAAATGTCCTCTTCACATATAATGCATGCCAAGAAGAACATTGCTTGTGTGGGCTTCTGATGAAGTAGAAACTATAGGCCCAAGGTAGTGCAATGTGGTTACCAAGGTTGAATTTCACATACCAGTTTGAACCAACCAGCCAATTCTTTGGCCACATGCTTCCAGTCGTAGTTTATAAACCGCCCTATCCGTAAATGAGTTGTGGGCATATTGGCAATGCACCTCAGGGTGCTAGGAAGCATTCTGGGTTGAGATGTGGTTATCGGCAACCGAAGATGACCTAACTTGCAATGGTCCATGAGTGACATCAGACCAGGTGTAAGCACCCTAGGACAGCTTCCTGGCCCCTGGTAGGGTGCACCAGCACTAATGCTTGCCTTGGGCTCTTTACATCAGGTAGCAGGGTCTGTGCACCCCCATTTTAATCTCTTACAATGCCTCAGAGTGACAGTACATTGAACTCTCATGGTAAATTGGGACAAGTTAAACTGGCAATTTCTAGCCATGCTTGCATCATTCCGCCACTGCCAGATAAACTTGGAGGGAGACTCATCAGTGGAGGAGGAGGCTCAACAGAGGCAACAGTTCCTGAATTATTTAAAGGTAAAGGGACCCCTGACCATTAGGTCCAGTCACGGACGACTCTGGGGTTGCGGCGCTCATCTTGCTCTATAGGCCGATGGAGCCGGTGTTTGTCCGCAGACAGCTTCCGGGTCATGTGGCCAGCATGACTAAGCTGCTTCTGGCGAACCAGAGCTACACATGGAAACTCCGTTTACCTTCCCACCAGAGTGGTACCTATTTATCTACTTGCACTTTGATGTGCTTTCGAACTGCTAGGTTGGCAGGAGCAGGGACCGAACAATGGGAGCTCACCCCGTCGCAGGGATTTGTACCGCCGACCTTCTGATCGGCAAGCCCTAGGCTCAGTGGTTTAGACCACAGCGCCACCCGTGTCCCTTGCACCCAGGTTTACCCCAGCGTAATAGAGTTGGCCAGGATGCCAGAAGGGATACAATTTATCAGCTTTCTCCATTATCTGCACAGCAGGGGTTGTCCAGTCAACAGATAAATTGCAAACAGATAAAAACATTGGGAGGATCATTGTAATAATCTGCAGCTTCAAAGGGTATATATTTAAAGTACAGTGGTACCTCGGGTTACAGACGCTTCAAGTTACAGATGCTTCAGGTTACAGACTCCGCTAACCCAGAAATAGTACCTCGGGTTAAGAACTTTGCTTCAGGATGAGAACAGAAATTATGCGGCGGCAGTGGGAGGCCCCATTAGCTAAAGTGGTACCTCAGGTTAAGAACAGTTTCAGGTTAAGAACAGACCTCCGGAACGAATTAAGTACTTAACCCGAGGTACCACTGTAGATAATTAAATGAGCAAATTGAATGAATTTGGATCGGCAGAAGATATTAAAAAATAGATTTAAGGAACTACAGAGAGAGGAAGAAGGAAGTCAAGCTTTGAAATGTTAAAACGATTGTAAAATTAATGAAATGTATAAACCTGAAAAGTATAAATAAAAATTAAAAACAAAAGAATACTTTGAGCGGGCCCGGCCCCTTTCCCACAAAGATCAAAGGGGCCGGAGACACGCCTGGCCCCTAGAGTTGGTGCACCTGCACAGGGTCTACATCACACCTGTTTCAGCCCTTGGCAGACCCTGCCCATGTGACAGGAAGACTGCGACCATGTTGTTGTTTTCCCTTGTTCCCCCTCAATATGCATATCTGCTAAAATACTGGGAAGCAAGAGGAAGTTACAATGGTTATCTTATCAGGTGGCCAGTTTAGCAGCTTTTATCGCCCTAGTTATTGGGGAAATCTACCTGTATACACAACTGATAAGTATAGGTTTATGATGCTGAGTGCAACCAGAAAGTCTTCCATGTGCAACTGTAAAACGTCAGCCTTACAAATGGAAAATTGCTACCTGCATACAAAACCGACAAGGGTACATTTTTTGATGCTGCACCGGAGGCTACAGGCCTCCATTTTCCGCATCCTTGCTGTCACACGGAAGAAGAGATTCTGTACATATATCTGTCTACTCCTGGAGATAGCTATTTTATTAGACACCTTTATATACAGGCACCCCCCCCCCATTTGCATGAGGGTGGTGTTCCAGGTCATTGTGCATGTCACCAGGATGTGCGTAAGCTTGCCCTGCCCTGTTTCACCCCTGTTCTGCCCCATGCTGAAAACGGCATCCCCTCCATCATGTCTCTGATGAGAATAGAGATGTCCCATTCCGTAATGATAATTTTACTATTCATACCCCACACATCTTATAGGGTTGCCCCAGCACTCTGGGCAGCTTCCAACATATATAAAAAACATAATAAAACATTAAACATTCAAAATACTTCCCTATACAGGATTGCCTTCAGACAGTTCAGGGGTTGCATAACTCCATACCCTCCAACATTTCTCCAATGAAAACAGGGACATCCTAAGGAAAAGCGGGACATTCTGGGACGCAATCAGAAACCGCAATCAGAAACGCAATCAGCTTCTCTAAATCAGGGAAGTCCCTGGAAAATAGGGACACTTGGAGGGTCTGAAACTGGCACACATCTGTGGTTGCACACATGCCAATCGCACACAAATCGGGGTTTGCCTGTATATAAGAAAAGCAATTCAAATAATTATCCACCACTTTTTGGTAGTCACACCCACCCTCCTGGCAGATGTAGACATCTGAAGGCAGCCCTGATTTGGGAAGCTTTTAATGTTTGATGTGTGTGTGTTTTCCTTCACTCTATATTTTTGTTGGAGGCCTCCCAGAGTGGCTGAGACAACAAAAGCATATTAGGTTAGCAAATGTGTTTGGTTTTTTTGTATGTTTTAATAATAATAATAATAATAATAATAATAATAATAATAATAATAATAATAAATTTATTTGTATCCCGCCCTCCCCAGCCAAAGCCAGGCTCAGAGTGGCTTAAAAGGTAAAGGTACCCCTGCCCGTACGGGCCAGTCTTGACAGACTCTAGGGTTGTGCGCCCATCTCACTCAAGAGGCCCGGGGCCAGCGCTGTCCGGAGACACTTCCGGGTCACGTGGCCAGCGTGACATCGCTGCTCTGGCGAGCCAGAGCCGCACACGGAAACGCCGTTTACCTTCCCGCTAGTAAGCGGTCCCTATTTATCTACTTGCACTTTGACATGCTTTCGAACTGCTAGGTTGGCAGGTGCTGGGACCGAACAACGGGAGCGCACCCCGCCGCGGGGATTCCAACCGCCGATCTTTCGATCGGCAAGCCCTAGGCACTGAGGCTTTTACCCACAGCGCCACCCGCGTCGCGTCAGAGTGGCTTACATGATATAAATAAGACAATATGCACAATACAGCATACAATATGCAAATAAAATAACATTCAACATTCATTACAATAACATAGAATAATATTTTGTATGTTAAATGGTATAGTTTAATTATGGAGAAGTGATAGGAAACTGAGCACACCCTTATTGTAATACTGTACATTGTTCCTGATGTACAGGTCCCAAATATAAAATATGTATGGTCCCAAATATAAAATAAATGTTCATAAATGTACAAGGAAACACATACATAAGTATATAAACCACATGTCTGAAATAGTGTTGTTGTTGTTTAGTGGTTTAGTCGTGTCCGACTCTTCGTGACCCCCTGGACCAGAGCACGCCAGGCACTCCTGTCTTCCACTGCCTCCCGCAGTTTGCTCAAACTCATGTTTGTAGCTTTGAGAACATTGTCCAACCATCTCAACCTCTGTTGCCCCCTTCTCCTTGTGCCCTCCATCTGAAATAGTACAGGAGAGCAATCCTGAAGTCATTTTGACTCTCCCAAATTCACCTCAATATATTTCTCTGCAAGAAGGGAGGAAATGGAGAAAGCCTCCCCTTTGTCTTTTTGCTTACAAATCCTGTCTTAAGGGTGTATTTGTGTATGAACAGGGTGAGCCTGTGACTCAGAAACTGAAGTATTTACTATCACAAAAGAATGGCCAGGTTCCCCAGGTAAAGCAATCAGTGACCATTAACAGATAGCCTGGCAAACAGGATTTCTGCTGTAGACCACCTCCTTCTGTAATGTATGTATGATGTTTCGGGGGTGTCTTGGTCTACAGCAGGCTTCCTCAACCTCGGCCCTCCAGATGTTTTTGTCCTACAACTCCCATGATCCCTAGCTAGCAGGACCA